GCGTAATAATAAATTTGAATACAACTAAATAATACATGAAAATAATTAGATATTTGTTATAAATGTATAACAAATCATTTAAACAATTAGACATTAACGTCACTAATTTGATGCATTCAATACTATTAGGGACTATAATTTAATTTAAGACATTCGTCAGAAAAGAAGTATTGCAAACGATAGGAATGTTAACTTTGGGCTCTTTTTCCATAATCCACCAATCTTTCTCAGTACATTATTGTTCTTCTTTAGTGATTCACCATCAAAATCATCAGAGAAAGGGGTAGCCGAGCCTGTTAGCTTAACAGAGATGGAATTCTTATCAGGATCCTCATGGTTCCTGCCATCGTTTCCAGATGTGAGAATTGTTGAAGCTGCTTCAGCAGCCTTTCTCCATTGATACCGGAATTTCTTTCCTCCGTGGTTCATTCCGGCAATTTGTGAAACGCAAGAAAACTGCCGGAAAATTTCAAAAAAGTCACCGGAAAACTTACTTCCACCGTTGTTCGGCCGTCGGTAATTGACGATTTTTCTGTAATGAGCAATCATTTATTCAACTCAAAACGTTCATTTTTTTATTTCTCTATGGTTGATTTTAGTTCTGATTCTCTCAGTCTTGCATTAAACTTCACATGCTCAGCAGTTTCATATACTGATTGGATCTGAATAAGGTAGAACAAACTTACAGAATCATCTGAAAAAACATAGGGAAGGGTTCAAAAATTTCTTGAATACAAAACATTTACAACAAATAGAAAATACCTAAAATTTTAAAATCATGTAGAATTGCTTGAATGGAAAAGAAAACAATGCAGACAAGTTGGCAAATCTATAAAATTAGTGTTTTACTATTTGATATGGGAGGATAACAAACGAATCATTGGAGAAGACAATGATTTTAGTTGGCAAAGTATTGGGTTGCATCAACAGTAAAAATATGATGAAGATGATGATAAAAATGCCATGAAGGCAAACAAGTAGAGAGTGAAATGTAAATGATTTTAGGATTTTGGGTTAAGGAAATGTTAAGCAAGCATTTTAATTCATTTTTTAAAGTTGAAACCATAATCAAAATATATAAGAAATTCATGTTCATGTTAAATCAAATTAAGAGCCCAACTACAGAGACCAGAGGCTGGGTCAGTTTTCACTTGTTTTGATGAACACATGGCAAAAATATAGCATCATCCAAACACAATTTATATCAATATATTCTGGGAAAAAAAATTCAATAGAATAGCATCTCTAATGTTGGTTAAAGCACTCGTTAGTTTACAATTTAAAGAAAAACAACTCTTGATTTTCATAATAATTTGCCTGTCAGAGCATTTTGCCAAGCATGAAATAAACATCAAGAGATCTGAAACTATGATGTTTGTGCTCACCATTGATCTGTCATTTGACTCTAATACTCGAAATCTTTGTGAATCGCCATTGTTGTTCAAAACTAAGATTTGGTTCATAGTTTGTATATCTATACTTAATTGCCAACATTGTAGTCTCCAGACTTACTTATTTAATCATCATTAGTTTCCTTTCCATATTTCAGTTAATCCTTTTGCTAGTTCTGATCACAAATTACTCGGATTTTTCTTTTTTATATTATCAATTGCACTAATTGAAAAGTAGACTAAGAATTTTTAACCCAACTTAATCAATTTTTAATTAGAACTTCCTAATATAAGTTTTTTTAAATATATTATGAATTTTTACATTTAGAAAATTGACATATACAAATTCATAATTTAATTTAATTTAATAAATATATTTGATTAAATTAACAATAATTTAACAACTTGACTTAATCCTATTTGAATCAGTTAAAAAATAATGCCATTGTAATAGTAATAAAATATTATTACAATAATGTGTACTCTGATACGACACCAATAGGTGTTGTATAAGTTGTATCCAATTTAAATACTATTTAATTTCAAAAGGAAACGGGTATCCGATATACGTGCCTGTTTAAAAAAAAAATATCTAAAAAAATGATGCAATCAAGCTGTCCCTTGGCTGCTATCTGGATGCTTCAATTTTCCCCCCTTGGTGCTTCAGTTTCCCCTTCCTTGGCAGTTGTGTTGTTGCTTTGGTTTTCCCTTTATATGTTATGTGGATGCTTCTTTTTCCCCCTTAGTGGTTATCCCTTATGTCCATGTTTGCTGCAGTTTTTAAGGTGTTCCTATTGACTGTTTGGGAGGTGCATTAACTAAATATATTTTTTTTTCTTCTATAAATGGGGATGTTTTGTGGCAGTTTTAAGTAGGATATGTGATTATTTTTTAATTGTAAAACATGTGGGTTTGTTCTAGCTTGCGAGCTAGCAACCTTTCCCCTTCCCATTTACTACTTCATCTCGGTTTTCTACATCTTCTCTATCCACAATTCCCGCCCCATATGTATCTTTCTTCTCTTAATTAATTTAAGTTGTAAGGTGCTGTGTTCTAGTTATTGTTATATTATATATGTGTTTGTTTATGTTTATGGTAAAGAAGACTTTTAGTTTACAATCATAATGTAATTTATTTTATTGCACCAATTTGATATAAGAGCTTTAGGTTGTAGGTCATGTCTTAATTTCTTTTAAAAAAAAATTAAAAACAAAAAAATGTAAAGCCAAACGCTCAATAGGCTGAAGTTCCACCTTAAGATGCAAAGGAGTCTGCAGATGGTGAAAGTCAGCATTCTATACAGACGATCCTCATCAGGAGATGAGGATTCTCCATTAGGGGAGAATTGATGCAATCAAGGTGCTCGGTCGCTTAAATTTCTATTTATTGGCTACTGGGTGGGCCTTGTTTTTCTCAGTTTTTCCCCTAGGCAGTTATCCCTTCGATTTGGACAGCTATCACTTCAGTTTTTTTGCTCATTAGTTGTTATTTTGATACTTCATTTTCCCCTAGGCTATTGTCCCTTCGATCCCTGTTTGTTACATAGGAGTTTCTAGTAGTTGTTTAGGTGGTGCTTTAATTACCTTGCATTAAATATTTTTGTCACTTTTTTCTCCCCTATAAATGAGGATATGTAATGATTTTTGAAATATAAAATTTGCGGGTTTCTTCTAGCTTGGGAGCTAGCCTCCTTTCCCCTTCCCCTCTACTATTTCATCTCAATTTTCTACCTTTTCTTCTCTAGCTACAGTTTCAACCCCAGCTGTATATTTCTTCTCTTAATTAATATAAGTTGTAAGGTGTTGTGTTCTAGTATTATTATATTATATATGTGTTTGTATATATTTATAGTAAGAAAGACATTTAGTTTGCAATCCTAATATTTTTTGTTGTTGCACCAATTTGGTATAAGAGTTTTAGGTTGTTGGTCATGTTTTCCTTTCTTTTTTAAAAAATCAAAAATAAAAATGGAAAGCTAAACACTCAACAGCTGAAGTTTCACCTCAAAATCCAAAAGCGTCTACAGATGGTGAAAGTTAGCCTTCTATGTAGACGATCTCATCAGGAGATGAGGATTCTCACCCTGGGGAGAATTGATGCAATCAAGCTATCCCTTGTCTGCTATCTTCATGCTTTGGATTTTCCCCCTTGGTGCTTCGGTTTCCCCCTCTTTGGCAGCTGTGTTCTTGCTTCGATCCCCCCCCCCCCTTCTATGCTATGTGGATGCTTCATTTTTTCCCGCTAAGTGGTTATCCGTTTGGTTCATGTTTGATACAGTTTTCTAGCTTTTCTATTGACTATTTGGGAGGTGCAATAACTACATGTATTAATTGTTTTTTTTTCCTTTTTTTCCCTATAAATGGGGCTATTTTGTGGCAGTTTTAGATAGGATATGTGATAATTTTTTAAATGTAAAACCTATATGTTTGTTCTAACTTGCAAGCAAGCCTACTTTCCCCTTCCCCCTCTACTATTTCGTCTCGATTTTCTACCTCTTCTTCTCTATCCACAATTCTCGCCCTGTATGTATCTTTCTTCTCTTAATTAATATAAATTGTAAGGAGTTGTGTTCTAGTATTTGATATCAGAGCTTTAGATTGTAGGTCATGTCTTCCTTTCTTCTTTAAAAAAAAATCTAAAAAAGAAAAAAAAATGGAAAGCCAAACACTCAAAGGCCGAAGTTCCACCTCAAGATGCAAAGGAGTCTGCATAGGGTGAAAGTCGGCCTTCTATGCAGACGATCCTCATCATGAGAGATGAGGATTCTCCACCATGAGAGAATTGATGCAATCAAGGTGCTCTATCACTTCAATTTTTGTTCATTGGTTGATGGGTTGTCTCTTCGTGGGCCTTTTTTTCCTCAGTTTTTCCCCTTGGCAGCTGTCCCTTTGGGTTTGGGCTATTGTCCCTTCAATTTGGGTAGTTGTCCCTTCGATTTTTGTTCACATTGGCTATTTTTTATGCTTCATTTTCCCCTATGCTGCTGTCCCTTCGGTCCCTATTTGCTGCAGCTTTTGAAGAGTTTCTAGTGGTTGTTTAGGTGGTGCTTTAATTACCTTGCATTTTATGTTTTCCCCCTTTTCTCTCCTATAAATAAGAATATGTGAAGATTTTTCGAATGTAAAACATGTGCGTTTGTTCTAGCTTGCAAGCTAAGCCTCCTTTTTCCTTTCCCTCAACTATTTCGTCTCGGTTTTCTATCTCTTATTCTCTATCCATAGTTCCCACCCCATCTGCATCTTTCTTCTCTTAATTAATATAAGTTATAAGGTGTTGTGTTCTAGTATTATTATATTATATATGTGTTTGTCTATATTTATTGTAAGAAAGACTTAGTTTGCAATCATAATGTGATTTTTTTGGTTGCACCAATTTGGTATCAGAGCTTTAGGTTGTAGGTCATGTCTTCCTTTCATTTTAAAAAAATAAAAAAGAAAAAAAATCTAAAGGCAAACACTCAAAAGGCCGAAGTTTCACCTCAAGATGCAAAGGAGTCTACAAA